TATTATGTTCCCCAGGTTTCCTTACTTAGTTCTTATCTGTTTAGGTTCCTTCCATGTCTGTGCCGTCCCCACTATGGTGATTATAGTGTCGTGTCCTCTGTGTTTAAGTCTCCCTCATCCTTTATGTGTCTCAGTGATGGCTTTGTCTCTCTTCGTGTCTCTCTTACTCCGTTTGTGTTTTGTCTCCTCTTCTTGTTTACAAGTTACCCTTTGTGCATCATTCCATCTGTCATGTGTGTTAATTTCGCCTTTGTCTTTTCTTTGTATGTTTTTTACCAGTCTAAATAAACAACTCCTTTTTCATTAAGTTCAGTCCTACCTCTTGTGCGTCTGCTTTTGGGTCCACAACTCACTGGCCACTCGGCCATGAGAGTCTGTAGACTCACTGAGTGCTGACAGTGACCATCTCCACCCTATTATCAGGCCACATCAGGATCCCCTTTAGTTTGCTTACCAGCCATGCTTCCGAGCTGAGGATGCAATCATCTACATGCTCAGTCGTGTCTATGCCCATCTGGGCCAGCCGGCGAGCACTGTGATTGTGACTTTCTGATGACTCCTCGGTGGTTGGATGCGTCAGTGAGAGTGATGAGACAGAGTACCAGGCTGTGGTTCATTCCTTTGTCACGTAGTGCAAACAGACTCATCTGCAGCTGAAAGTGACCTGACTTGATTGTGGACTTTTAAGGACTATGAAACCTTGGACCACTATTTCAATCCAGTGGTACGATGTGGACATTGTGGAGGACTACAAATAGAGTGAAGTACACATGGATAACAAACAGGACTGGGTTAAAAACACAACACCACTCTACAGGAAGGGCCAGAGTTGTCTCTATATTTTGAGGTGGCTGAGGTCTTTCAACATCTGTCATACAATCCTCAGGATTTTTTTTACAAATCTTTTGTGGCCAGTGCCATCCTCTATGCTATAGCATGCAAGGGCAGCAGGTTGAGACTTGGAAAGTAGGATGAATGCGAAGAACTGTAGGCAATTTAAGTTTAATGGCTAGTGGGTTGATAATAGTTTCAATTTCAAAAGGGCCTTTGTAACGGGGTGTGAACTTGCATGACAGTGCTTTGACTTCGTTAATACCTGGGAGCAGACCTCGAAGCACGGAGCAAAGGCTCCCAGGCACACACCCGGATACGCTGAGTGCATTTCACATGGTGTTGCACAGATGGAAGAGCCAAATCCAACTCGTTCTCTGGGAACAGTGGTGATTGGTATCCAAAGGTTATTTCAAATTAGAAATGGGAGGTGTGAGGAACAAGTGGCCGGGTTATAGGAAGTGACACTTCAGAGAATGGTCTCAAGCTCTTGATTTAACCTGTCGGTTTGACCGTTGGTCTTGGGCAGAATTTAAACTAATCTTGGTACCAAATGAGGTGCAGAAGGCCTTACAGGTCTGGGAAGGGAATTGTGGGATTCTATTTTATGTGGAATTCCATGGAGCCTAAAAACATGATGGATGAAGTCAGCTGTTTCAGTAACAGTAGGCAATTTCTCCAAAGCAACGAAATGTACAGATTTTGAGAATCTGACTGTTTTTCCTGAGGTAGGTAACCCATGACAAAATCTACAGTGATGTGGGACCATGATCTGTGGAGGGTGGCTAGAGGCACGCTGGTGTTCAGGCAAGCACACTTCTGCAAGGGCAGAACTTCCCTCAGACACGGGCTGAGCAAAAGCCTTTTTCAGTTCACAAAAGAAAATAGGCCGGTGGGTGAAAAGAAAAATACGCTTCGGCCTATGCTAATACCCTTCACCTCAGTCGCCCTACAAGATAGGATACTTTTTCTGTCTTATTGGGCAATGAATGTGGTGAGCAGCTGAAAATCAGCAAGGATTACTTCAGGAATCCCCCGCAGCGAATCAACTCCCTGTAGAAGGGCTCAGGTGCCGGAGAAACTGTGTCACAGAATATAGGCTCAATGGTTGCAGCTGCAGACAGCTGCTGGACACTCTGTGGATAACTGAGCGGTTACAGGTAACTAAACGGTGGAGGACCTGGAAAGTGAGGATGAGAATCAAGGGAGTCAGTATGATGAAGCCCCTTGAATGTGTTGAATCTTTCTGGCCAGTTGCTTCACCAAAAGGCAGATCACACGAAGCCCTGTTTAACAGCTCGTTTGAAAGTACTCTTCATTTTTCAAAGAACAGCAGGATTGTGGGGTCGCAAATTTTAAAGGCTGTGCAGAATTTCATTAGGGCGGAAAGATGTTGATTTAGGCTTTTGGAACACAATTTAAACAAAAACACAAAATTTACAGGAGATGATGTGAAGTGTGATGCCAACAGTTTTATTGAACATACAACTTAATCAGAAACTTAAAAGAAAGGAAAGACCTCTAGCGTGAAGAATCACCAGCTCCTCCTCCTTTATTATATAATTTTTTAAAGATTTCTTTTCTTAAGTATGTCCAAATCAAATTTTTCTTAAAAACTTTGCTTCCTCTATGATCAACACTTGTCTTGCATAACTTTCTGGGATTTCTTCCAATGACCTCTTCAGCCATTATCTTCATAGTTTATTTTGACAGGTTTTGACTGAGCTGAGCTCATAGGGTCAGGAATAATGGCTGTTATGCCAGCTTTACAGTGAGAAGCAATTAATACTACTTCAGATTTTTATTCCTTTAAAACAATTTGCACTACCAAATGTAAGGTACAAGTTTCCGTAATTAGGCTATTCTACAACTTTGGACAGTTTGGACCTTCCAAATGACTCATATAGATAAAAACAATTACCAGATGCATCTTTGTCTAGTTTCCACCAACCACATGTCACAAACCTGTCAAAATGGAAAACAGCACTGTCAAAGTTACACTTTTTTTTTTTTAAGATCCAAATTATTCAAGCTCAAAACAGCAGCTGGGTATCAACAAGTGTTCACATAAAAGTATGATATAAACTCCAACCCCCTATTTATTGACACATTGAATTGAATTATTTAATGGTGTATTTAATCAATTCATTTTTGTCACTTCTATCCCTCCATTCCTCGATATGTACACAGGCATTTTTTAAACAGATATTCTCTAGTGTATTTTTGAGAAATTCTTTTTGCATCAAGACACAAAAAGTATCTCAAGCACTGTCCAAAGAGAACCTTTAGCCAAGTCAAAGCCCACAAATAACAAATAAAAGTCAGAAAAAAGTTTAGTTTTTTTGTCCACAAGTAAACATAGAAATCTCATAGAGATCTTCTGAAAACCTTTTGAAAATAAAGTTTTGTCAGACGCTGAGTTTCCAAAGATCCAAACACTTTGTTTTACCATCAACATTTTCTAAAAATTAAACTTAGCACGCGGTATGGTTTCCTATATGCATTTTCAACTGTACTGAAGAACTAAATTTTTTTCCCACAGGTGCTACAACAATGTGGTTTCTCACCTATATGAATTCGCACGTGTCTATTCAAATGCCCCTTCTGAGCAAAGCTTTTCCCACAGGTGTCACAAGAATGTGGCTTCTCACCTGTGTGAATTCTTGCATGTTCATTTAAATGTGTTTTTAGAGTAAATCTTTTCCTAGAAGTGCTACAGGAATATTGTTTCTCACCTGTATGATATTCCATGTGCATTTTCAAATGTCCCTTCCGATTAAATCTTTTCCCACAGGTGCTACAAGAATGAGACTTCTCACCTGTGTGAATTTGTATGTCTAGTCAGGTGTGACTTCCGACTAAATCTTTTCCCACAGGTGCTACAAGAATGCGGCTTCTCACTTGTGTGAATTCGCATGTGACTATTCAACTGCCCCTTCTGAGCAAAGCTTTTCCCACAGGTGTCACAAGAATGCGGCTTCTCACCTGTGTGAATTTTCATGTGTTCAGTTAAATATTTTTTTAGAGTAAAGCTTTTCCCACAGGTGGTACAAGAATGCGACTTCTCACCTGTGTGAATTCTCGCATGTTCATTTAAATATGTTTTTAGAGTAAATCTTTTCCTAGAAGTGCTACAGGAATATTGTTTCTCACCTGTATGATATTCCATGTGCATTTTCAAATTTTCCTTCCGATTAAATCTTTTCCCACAGGTGCTACAAGAATGCGACTTCTCACCTGTGTGAATTTGTATGTGTCTAGTCAGGTGTGACTTCCGACTAAATCTTTTCCCACAGGTGCTACAAGAATGCGGCTTCTCACTTGTGTGAATTTTCATGTGTATTTTCAGATTTGTTACTACATTAAATCTTTCCCCACATATGCTACAAAAATATGGCTTCTCACCTGTGTGAATTCGCATGTGAATATTCAACTGCCCCTTCTGACTAAAGCTTTTCCCACAAGTGGTACAAGAATGCGGCTTCTCACCTGTGTGAATTTTCATGTGTTCAGTTAAATATGTTTTTAGAGTAAATCTTTTCCCACAGGTGCTACAACAATGTGGTTTCTCACCTGTATGAATTCGCATGTGACTATTCAACTGCCCCTTCTGAGTAAAGCTTTTCCCACAAGTACTACAACAATGTGACTTCTCACGTGTGTGAATTCTTATGTGGGTTTTCAAACTTGATTTTACATTATAACGTTTCCCACAAGTGCTACAGGAATATCGTTTTTCTCCTGTATGATATTCCATGTGCATTTTCAAATGTTCCTTCCGATTAAATCTTTTCCCACAGGTGCTACAAGAATGCGACTTCTCACCTGTGTGAATTTGCATGTGTCTAGTCAAGTGCGACTTCCGACGAAATCTTTTCCCACAGGTGCTACAACAATGTGGCTTCTCACCTGTGTGAATTTGCATATGTCGATTCAAGTTTTTTGCAGTATTAAATTGTTTTCCACAGGTGCCACATAAATGTACTGTCTTGGAATTTTGAACTGGCAGCTCTGATACAATTTCCTCCAATTTATTTCTGTGTAAGTTATCATCCTTGCTTTTGTCCTGATCTGTGTCAGGAGAGTTGTGAGAAAGGAGCTGGTCACTGCGGTCACCTTCTCTACGAGCAGGAAAAGTTTGAGTCTCTTGCTTTCGTACAAACGGTTTTCCCTCTTCAGTGGTACGGAGTTTCTCCTGTTCCCCTTTAATCTGCGAAGGATCCTCCTGTTCTTTACAGTCATGTTGTGGAAAATCTGAAGGGGCAAAAAAACAAAACATA